CTACTTTATATCACTTACCTTTTCCTTGTTGCTTCAAGTTAGATTTCAGTAAGTAGTCACCTTATTGCATTCTTCAGAGAAAAGATGTATCAGTATGTCAAAACCACAAAATACAAATGAGTAAGAAGTACATGTACTTCTTCCATAGGGTTGGTGCTGAAGACTTATTCTACAACATAAATATACATAAAACACACACACACAAACACACACACATCAGAGTTTCAGTGTAAAAGGCTTGTGATGTTTCAAAGGAGCTTAATGAATTTTAAACAGGTGAGAACTGATACTTGTGGAAGTTCATTACAGTTATTCGATAATATCCAGCACCACAGCAACATATCCAGATGAAAACCTACACCTGTCTTTACATTTTCTTTTAATTTTGCAAATATGGGGTTAGGATCACTTGATATTTAAAGTCTTTATGAAGTTTCCAGCACCTCCATAAATCTTGGGTCATCTAACATAACTTCTTAAGCCCCATTAAAAATAATTCCCAAATGATTGGTTTGTTAACTAATAATTTCAAAGTTCCTTCACTATTATCTCAAGTAGTTGTAAAAATAAATCACTTCCATATAGCTCCCACATATCTATATTTTCTATCCAAATATATGTGGACTGGAAATGCCTCACACAAAAAAGTTTCAGGACATACATAGTGAGGTATGCCATTGATAGTAATAATTATTTATGGTCAGCTCCACTGGGCTATAAGCTTCATGGGGGAGATTTAAAAATGGGCGAGTGATGAAGATTTTACCTACAGATGCAATTCACATTCCATATGTTTTCAACTTATTCAATATCTCATGACAATTATAATCTATGAAGTTTAGTTTTAGTGACAGATTCTGTTGATGACCTTGTTCCAATTCATCATGGATGGATCTCATGTTCTTCCCACTTTGAATCATAACAACTCTTGAATAATTCTATTTAAACCTTTTCATTGGTAATCAATGATAATATTACACCAGTCAATCTCAGGAATCTGAAAATGAAAACATGAAAGCCTATTTATCCCAAGAAGCTCCTAATTCAAGGGCGAATGTACTATAGATGATAAAGCAAGTCCTAAAGGAAATATTAGTGAAGTACTTAAGCCAAATAAAGATGGTTTTCATCATCAGTTGGAGATCAAGGGAGGTTGGGGGGGTTGGCACTGAAGTCACAGGGAGTGGATATTGAAAAGGTAGGATACAAAGTCCCGAGTAATGTCAAGTGAAGGGTAAATTGTTGCTGAAACACTGATTCCAGTGCTTACATTCAGAGGAAAAATCAGTACTATAGCCTCATAGCCTCACTTTGTGCAAGAGGTAGACAGAAAATATACACAGGATATGTCTTTAGAAAGGAGATATGCATCTGAATTGCAACTGCTGCAAACAAGCATCATACTTAAATGTCTGTTGTTTGTTTGGTGTGTGTGTGTGTGTGTGTGTGTGTGTGTGTGTGAGCACATGCGCACTGTGCATAATGTTGTTGTGTAGTTGTATAACTGTTTCCTTAGAGATGGAAACATGCTATCACACAGGAATGCTCCTTAAGCAGGAAGGCAAACAATTCAAAAGAGCTTCAGGAAGTACCTGAAACTGACCAGATTCACTAGGTCCCTCCTTGCCAGAGTAAGCAACAAAAGCTGAGTCTCTCTCGCTCTCTGTCTCTCTCTCTGTCTGTCTCTCTATGTCTCTCTCTGTCTCTCTGTCTCTGTCTCTGTCTCTGTCTCTCTCTCTCTCTCTCTCTCTCTCAGAAGAGCAGAGGCAAGCTGCAAAGAAGACTCTCAGATGTTGGGCTGAAAACTCTCCACAACTATGAGCCAAAATGAATGTTTCTTCCCTTAAATTGTGTAAGTATAGTGATTACTATGATTCAAAATTAACCACTGCATTTATACAAAGTGGATTTGATGTCTTGGAAAATCTGCCAGTCAGGGATCATCCAAGCTCTAAGTCAGGTCAGATATGGTAAAAACAAACACCAAAAGACAAATCAGGGCGTTGGCAGAGCTGATTCATGATTTTGTGCAAAAAAGATACATTTAAATGGACAGAAGGAATAATGTTCACAGATAAAAATGTGATGAAACATACTCACTAGGATGCATTTAGCCTACTGACACTCAACTGATCTCAGGTTTGAAGATATGGCACCTTCCCCCAATTCTACAAAACAGCCCATCTAACAGGGTGATTTTCAAACTCTTTGAACTGGACATTTCTTTAAGGCAAAAATCTAAGATCCGAGCAATGTTCTGAATCTTTACTTCCAAAAGAAGTCATTACATACCAGCTTTCTACATGATTTAGCTATTGTCTCTCAGGTTCAGACATTTTATCTCCTGCCACCGTCTATATTTTATTTTCTGTCTTACATAAATGTAAAGGGCACCACCAGCCAGTTCTGAGCTCGTCAAACCCCTGACAACACAAATCATGCCAGATATAAATATTTTCATTGTCACAGCAAATGTTTCCAAAATCACAAACTCTGATGCCTTTGCAAATTGATTTGGAACAGGTACAATGTACTGAACTGAAAAGATAAAAGAAAAAAACCACTTCCTGAAAAACAAACTAACAAAAGGCCCAAATAAATAAAAATATTCTAATATATGAGAACCAGATTTCTTCTTTCCCAATACATTTGAAGGAAAGGATCCTTTCTTTATATCAACATTTTCTTCTAAGATGACTTGATGAAAGTTGAGATATGAGTTGATTCTGTGTTTGTTTGCCATTTTCCCCATTCGATTCTCAATGCGTGCTTTGCCTAAAGACCTCTTGAATATATTCTGCAACATTTTCCTGCTTTTTAAAAATCAGTATTTTAATTAGCATAAAAATAGTGGTTTCCATCATGACCTGTTCTTGTAAGCATGTCATTGTCACTTAATCATGCTCATCCTTTTATTAACCTCTCTTACTCCTCTCATCCACCCCGCTGGATCACTTTCTTTTCCAATAACTCCACAAATATAGGTACAATTTCTAGATTCTGCACATGACAGAAAATACAGTGTTTTTCTATCCTTCCCTGATGCCCCTCATATTCCCACCATCTATTATATACAACAAATGCATAGCCAACATTAGACTCTGTGGAAACACTAAAACCATTTCATTTTCTATCAAGGATGAGCCAAAGGTATCTACTTCTTCAATACTGTGGTTGGAGTCTTTGCTAGAGCAATAAGGCAAGAGAACAAAATGCATAGGAAATAAATAAGCCAAAGAATCTTTATTTTTATATGATATCATCCTGTACTTAAAATACTCCAAGGACTCCACCAGGAAATTCTTAGATCCGATGAACACTTTCAGCAAAGTCAGGATACAAAAATCAGAAGCTTTTTTGTATGCTCATAATGAACATACTTATATCAGAAAAAATCCACTTGTCATAAATTGAATGTAACACAGGAGGAGAAAGAGCTATACAATCAAAACAGAACATGGCACAGCTCTTAGGAAAATGACCATTTCCATCACCAGCCTTAGAACTTGGTATCTGTTCTCGTCACTGTCTTTTACCCTGCCCACAAGCACCTGTTCTTCGTCTGAGCTTCAGATTTGCTGGCTACTTTTATGAAACCCAGGCACCAGACCTCATTCTGTCTTAGATGTTTATGTTATTGTTTCTCCAGGATGCAATTGTGCCCCACCCCCCGTCATCCTCTCCAACAAAGAAAGGGTAATTCAATGTTTACTTAAATTGGAACTTTCACTGAACCCTCAACTGGCCAATTTGACTAAATTGGCTAGCTAGCCAGCCTGTGATCTACGTGGCCTCACCTTGCATGCATTGAAGTTATAGGTACGGTAAACATTTTCCCCATTAAAGTCATCATTCCAGGCTCTATGCAATGCTTCTTAAAATCTGTCTCATGACCTGAGTCAAAGCTGCTAACAGGTTTTTGGTGAGTCATTATGTGTGTGTGTGTGTGTGTGTGTGTGTGTGTGTGTGAGAGAGAGAGAGAGAGAGAGAGAGAGAGAGAGAGAGAGAGAGAGAGAGACAGAGAGAGACAGAGAGAGACAGAGAGAGACAGAGAACGGGAAAGTGACATGGTAGAAAATATGTTCCAATATGTCAGAAAGGGCAAGAAAAGAACACCTGAATGGAATTGTGTGTGTGGATTGTGGATGAGTAACAGACTGCAGAGGAGGACGGGTGGCAGGGCCTGAACAGTCCAGCTCCACAGAAGAATCTGCCAGTAATAGCAAATATCTATAATTTAGCCCTAGCTTTTCCTTTTTTACACAAGTGTCTTTTCACTATTTGTTTTGAATTCACAGTGAAATCACCTTCAACTACAATTTTCTATATGTGTACATTTCCCCCAATTCGAACATCCTGGCCAACAGTAAAAGGCAATGAAACAGAAACAAATCAGCAAGAGAAATACCAGACTCTCACATTGGGCAACCCCCAAACGCACTATGCCCTTCCCAAATTAAGGACTCACTTCTGGCAGGAGGAGAGGGCAGGGCTGAGTCTGACCTAAGAATCACAAAGCACAGCTCAGCATTTCTGGGCAGAAGGGAGGATTCTTAGCCAACGAGATGCCCCTAGGAAGATTAATTATTGATTTTCTTATAAATCATCTCAGGTGATTGTTGTTTGTTTTCCCTCCCAGGATGATAAACGTCTGATACTACTTTTGTTAAAATAAATTCCTTCTACTTCAGTGCAGTTAAATGAAGACCAAAAGAAGAAGTCTCAGAGGAAGGATTTTCCAACCAGTAGGCAGGGGAATCAACTGTGTTCTGACCTTCATGGGTTACCAAGGGTTAGGACATCACACAACTTCCTGGTGTCCTACAGTTGTGAGGCCCATGGATTTTATGAAGGAAGAAAAGCACTATTTGGACATAGTTATATTTGTCTGGAGTGCTTTTGAGGTCTGTGATTATTGCCAGGTGTCACTCATCACAGAGACCAAGATCCAGAAGACCAGCTTTGACAATGAACATCACAGAAGCAACATGGTGGCTTACCTTCCTGCCTCCAGTGTTGATGCGCAGAGGTGTCAGAAAGGGGTCAAAGATCATGTGACTGGTTTCTATGTTGACTGGTGACTGCCGTTTCCCCACGGAGCAAAGATTCCAAGCTGAGTTCACCAATCCCCAGAAGGAAGGAACTAGGAGTTAATGAAATTGTAGGATTAGGCTGAATGGAAAAAAAGCAATATATTAAAGCAAACCTAAGTTACAAAGTGGTAAACAAAGAATGTCCAGTAATATTCTGACTCAGGAGATCACAAGGTGTTGCCATAGTATTTTCCCAGGTTTCAATCTTGGTCAATTTCTACAATATCGCCTTCATGACCTCTGAAGTTCAGATTTTCTTACTTCGTGAATATCCTGTAGCCTCTTTATTGTGTTCATGCTTTGGTACTAACATTGTCTTTTAAGTCATGTCCTCTTTGCAACATGTTTAAAGTACACCAAGCATTTAACAACTCCAGAGCAGATGCTCTGTTCCTCTCCTAGGTGGAAATGATGTGAGAATCAGTTGTGTCCAATCTTGAAGGTATCTGAAGCTTTTCAAAGTAAGTGTCATTTGACATTTATAAGGTGTTTTTCTATGTTTTCTGTGAAGCAAACTGAGGAATGGTTTATTTTCATGACCCCCTCCAATCAAAACTAGACAGGAGTTTAGCAACTTGACTCTACCTTTGTTTGGTTCAACATTGTGTCATTAACCTAATGTTCCAGCAACTGAGGAACGTGGTCAATTGAAAGACAGAAAAAAAATCGTACCAAGTGTTGAGTGCAGATATCCAAGGAAAAACTGTCTGTTCACTTTCAGTGTTCCAGTAAAACACCTGTTAGCATAATTATTTATAGCATTTCCAGCCTTGTTTCCTTGTATTTAACAGTTAGTGGAAAGAGTTAACACTTAAAGTTTATACTCATAAAGAAACTATACCTTTAGCATTTACTGTCTCATCAGTATTTCCACTGAAGTGCAGAAACCGTGTCCCCCATTTTTCCCTGTGTTTGGTCATTCACCCACTGATCAAGGCACAGTATATATAGTGAGCTCCTACCTTTGTGTTATGCCCTGGGTTAGGTTGAATCTCAAGGGAAGAATAAAAGGGTAAGAATAATGAAGACCACAAGGTGAGACTAACTGGTGAGTGCTGTGAAGCTATAGATGAAGGACATCCATTTCAGCCTTGGGGGAGTGCAGCCAGAGAGTCATTATTGATGAACATTGCAATCATGTCATAAACCTCCTACATGCACCTGCCATCTTAGAAACTCAAGTTGAATGCAGATGTTAACTTACAGCAGCCATTGTGCGTGCTCATATCATAATGGCTAAAAGCCAAAGCCAGAGAGGAGTGCAAGAAACACTTGCCAAACAGTTATATAACTCTGAAAAACTGATTGATGGGATGTTTGGTTCCATGCAAACCCCCAATTCTATGACCTTATTAGTTCAAGTCAACACCAGGCAGCAGATTCCCCGAGAAATACTTCAACACCAATATGTGATGGGATTCATATTTAATTTGACCTAATACATTCCAAGGAGCCTCTGGTGGCTCTGTTCCCTTTAGGTTTAGGATTTGAATTGGCTTCCTCAACATGAGCAATTTTCAACATGGCATCAATGGCAAGAAGGAGAAAGAGAAGGAAGAGAAAAAGGCTGAAGAGTAAAAATAGAAGCAAGAAAATTTACTCATGGATATGTGCTTCCTTGATGCCCCCAGTTCTTATTGTATAAGCCATGCTATCACTTAAGATGGCTTAATGTGTTTACAAGATACCACATCATTGCAACACTATGATATAGAATGGAGTTTTTCCATTAAAAATGTACTTTCCAGATGGAGGGAGTGGGGGGAGCAGGAGGAGAGGAGAGAGGGGTAACTGGGATTGGAATGTAAAAAATAAATTAATAAATTTTTTAAAAAATGTACTTTCAAGGGGGGAGCTCTTGGACCCCAGACCGACCGCTGGGAGGCCAGCATGGGACTGATCCAGACCCCCTTAGTGTAGGAGTCAGTGAGGAGGCCTGGGCAGCCTATGGGGCCCTGGGCAGTAGATCAGTATTTATTCCTGGCATACAAATAGACTTCGTGTGTCCATAACAAAAAGAGGGATGCTCTCTCAGCCTGGATTCTTAGGGAAGGGCCTGGACCCTGTCCTGAGCTAAATGACAGACTCTGGATATCCCCTATGTGGAAGGAAGTAGAGATAGGGTAGGAGGCTGGGGGGGGGGGATGGTGGGGGAGTGCGGGAGGAGGGGAGGGAGAGAGAACTGGGATTTACATGTGAAGCAAGCTATTTAAAATTAAAGTAATAAAAAATTGTAAAAATGTACTATTCATCTGCAGTGTTCTCTGTACCTTAGGTGTGGGTGTTGTGTTGTTTGGGGCTGGGTACCTCTCCATCAGTTGTTTGTTGGACTTTGATCAGCTGTGGCAGCTGTGGCTTTTTGTAATGGTCTGCATCTGCCACAAAATGAAACTCCTTTGATGAGGTATGAAAGCTACATTTCTCTGTGGGTGTAAGGGTCCATATTTTAGAATGAAGTTAGGAATTGCCATGAGTTAGTAAAGTGGCAGTAATAGGTTTTTCTTTAGAATCTGTGACTCACCAACTCTGCATAGGCAGCTAGGTTTCCATTATTGGGCATGATTTCCCTCCTGTTGTAATAGACAGCTGTTGCTTATTGCAAAGATGTGAGAGAACCTTTAGGAATGTCCTGCCTGCTGGTCATTGTTGAAGTCCTCCAGCTGTCGCATTTTGCTAGGGACTATTGATTACTTCCCTCCCTTGACAGCTTGCATAGTACCTTTTTGTACTAAGAGAAGTAGACGTCAGGATTGAGGCTTCTAGATTAGTTCCATCTCAAGTCCTCTGAGTCCTGTGTCCATGGTGTCTTCCAAAACAGGTTCTTACCTTCAACTTTTGTGAGGCAACTAAGGGCAACAGCAACAACTTACATTGTTGGGAGTTTCTTGGAATTCCCTGACCAACAACTTGAAAGGAGGTTTCTCATGGCTGAAAATGGATTTCTGCAAGACAGTCTACAGCCTTTGTGGGAAGCATTATCTCCTTAATTAGCACAATCTTGATGCACACACACAGACACACATGAGAGAAATATGTAGAATATACATGTGTGTGTATACACTCATTTATAGGTATTACATATAATTTTAAATAAGCATAAAGCAATATGACTCCCTATGGATTTTTCAGACATCCTAATTGTTATTTGTCCAACTCTCTTCCAAATAAAAGACACCCTTTTCCATTTCCCCCTTCATGTCACCTGTATCCTGCTATTTCCTCCTCTAGAGCTCCCCATCACAATCTAGTTTTTACCTTCCTGATTTCTGAAGGTATTCCTGCTCATATACTCTTTGATAATAAAGGCATACATCTATGGGATATGTGTGTGTGTGTGTGTGTGTGTGTGTGTGTGTGTGTGTATGTGTGTGTGTTCTCTGTAAGGCAGCTGCATGATAAACACAGTTTGCAGCTGGTGCATATTGCATTTCATTTAGTCCCATGAAAATCATTAACAAAAATAATTCTAACGCCATAAACCATCTGTAAGGCTGCCTTTGTATGACACCATCAGTGAGCAGATGCTGCCATGCCTTGCTAATAAACTTCATACCTAAAAAGTCCCCCCCCACAAAACACAAACAGCAAAAACTTTATGTGAACATCTGCCTTTGCTTTTACTGGGTATGGAATTCTTTATGACAGTTTCAGGATTTTATATCCCCTCTTCACCATCAAGGCCCCTGTCTCTCATTCTAACCACCTCTTAGGAATCAGAGTAACCAAGAAACAGTGCTCTTTGATCACTCTGTCCCTCATTGGTGCAGCACCTCAAAGGGTATTGAGTTTGCTCAAACTGAATGGCTTTAGAGGTCATTATACCTAAATGCATCCATGGCATGGGAGCCATGGATAAGAGAGCAAAGTACTCCACTCACAGCCACAGTATCAGAGAGAGGCCAGAAAGTACAGAGAAAAGATCAGAATCAGCTCTGAAAACTCCAGTTGTCACAGAAGGTCCACTTCTCAAAATGTCTCTCTACAAGACTCCAATCAGAAGCAGGGGATTACACCCAGGAAAGTTAATGTTAAATTATCACCCTGACCCTTGCAGGACTAGTGCTTCCATTTCTCTTTTGATAAATGAAGAATAACATCAGTGTCTATTTGGCAGTCTAAACAAATTTCAAAGGTAAAATTCCAAATGAAACTCCTTGAAAAATCAGCTATGTCAAATAAAGGCAGGATTTGAAAGCAACTGAACAACTTTGAGATAACGCAGATAGAAAGATATGCTGAGGTCAGGGGAGGTGGCATGTTTTGGGGTTCCCTCTTCAGAGGCCCAGGAAGATGTAATAGAAGATATTGTTACAGAATACTGCTTCAGAGGCTGAAGAGATGGCTCAGATAGTACTGCTCTCCCACAGGACAAGTGACTGATTCCTGGCACTTAAATGCACAATCTTTCTCTCTGTCTCTGTCTCTGTCTCTCTCTGTCTCTCTGTCTCTGTCTTTCTCTGTCTCTCTGTCTCTCTCTCTCCTTTCTCCCTCTCTCCTTTCTCCCTCTCTCTCTCCTTTCTCTCTCTCTGTCTCTCTGTCTCTGTCTGTCTCTGTCTCTGTCTCTGTCTCTCTCTCTCTCTCTCTCTCTCTCTCTCTCTCACACACACACACACACACACACACACACACAAACTAAAAATAAAAGTTTGCTTGCTCTTGTGCTAGATGGACCAAACTAGTTTTCAATCCCCATAGAAAGAGAAGTCAAAGCTTGCTACTAGAAGCAATGTGAATATTGAGGATGTAATAAAGTTTGGAAGCCAATCCAGGGACTTGAGGGACAGATGGACAAGGAAGAGATCTACAAAAGCTATACTTTAGAATGGAGACTTGCAGAATGGGAGAACAAGGAATGCTTGCTTGCTTAAGCTTGGGAGTGAACTGGCTCACTTTAGGTGTGTAGAATTACATCATACCTACGAGCCAGGACACAGGATTTGGGTTTATGCAGTCCTCAGTTATGGCCATGGTTCTATCCAACCTCCATAGTGGCACCCTTCAGACTTACAGGCACCCCACATCACTTCAGAAGGGGAGATGGTAATAGTAG